TAGTCAGACAAGTCATATCTTCAGCCAGTCAGTATGACCTCTTTGGTTATCAACGTAAAGAGAGTCTAAGGACGTCAATTCTTGTGTCTAACCTCTGTCAAGATCTCCTAACATTGAAATCCAAATATTATTATCTTTTAGAGTGATCAAGTGCTTGGATATCTAATTTGGAAAAATACTCCAATTGGGATCCAATTTCATTAATCGACGCTCTTATACTTCTCTTTAGGAAGCTCTTTGCATTACCAATACGAGATAAGCGTACCATTTACACATTGGATCGACAAAGGAAAACATAGGCATAAAGAGATGACCAACTCCTACTCAATATTGTAGCTTTACATATTTATTTTAATAATTACCCAATTAATATGGATACTCATCTAAATAAAATACAATACAAAATTAAGTCCATGTTTGGTAGGAATTAAAATCCATAATTTAATTTAAGTCAAATACGAAATTATTCAATCACACATTTTATCAATTTCTATTAAAACCTACTAAAAATATGATTCTAATCCCCAACCAAACAAGGGTCAAATTTAATTTATGAGCACCAAACCCACATGAATACATGAGGCATGGACGAGTCGCTGTCACCTTAATTCTACATGGCATTTAAATGAGACTTGAAACTTGATGACAAATAAATCTTGAATAATTATCAATTTATGGAAAATCTATTAAAGATGCAATTAATTAAAATGTCCCAACATCTACAAGAGACTCTATTTGTAAAGATTATCTTATGCATAATAAATAGCAGCATTAAATTTAGAGAGCAAATTTTTATGCACTCTGACAATGCTCTTTATTTTTATGCACTCTGACAATGCAATTAATTAAAATGTCCCAACATCTACAAGAGACTCTATTTGTAAAGATTATCTTATGCATTATAAATAGCAGCATTAAATTTAGAGAGCAAATTTTTATGCACTCTGACAATGCTCTTTATTTTATTTTTTAATGAACATTTATTGATTTCTTATTTATAAAGGGCATCTCTTATTTAACATAATTTTTTTTATTATGTTAATGCCAATCAATTTAGATGTAATTTGAATAATTTAAATTGTAGAACATTGAAATTTGTAATTTATTAAATCCAATAATTGTTAATTAAAAATAGAGAGCTTTTGTAGCTTATTTTTAAGCATTGGTTCTTTCAAATAGAGATTACTTTGTATTTAGAGACTCTCTTGAAGAGTCAAACCCATTCTTTATTTTTAAAAGTTAAATTATAGAATCTTTTGAAACTTATTTTTAATTATTGGCTCTTTAATATAGAAAGCATATTATTATATTTAAAAAGTCTCTTGAAGGTGACCTAATCTAACACAATCCTTTAATAGATTATTCTTCCTGGATACAATATTAATTAAAATATGTGGAAATTACACCCACATAGGTTTTTTAACTTTTCAATTCAAAAATCTTGTCTAAAAGTCTTTATTCAAAATTCTAGTCATAATTCAAATTTTTAGAATTGAATAAATAATATTATAAAATTAAATTAATCTACCTATTCACCCCACTCCACCTCACCAAATTTCACTTCAAACCTTGATTATTCACCCCCCCTCCCCTCTCTCTCTCTTTCTGTCTCTCTCTCTCTCCCCCCCCCCCCCCCTTTTTCTATTTTCTTCCTCTCGAACAATGTCATTGAAAGATGAGAAGAGAGTGTCAAAATACATCCACAAGTGGCACTGTGACTTCGGTGCAGATGACGTTGCTGTAGCGACGCTGTGCTTGCTGTCTTTACGCACAATAGTCGCTAATGTGCAAACAATGATGCGTGCAGCGTCATCATTAGCTACTATGATGAAGACTCGTGCAATGATCGCCGTAGTTTTTTTTTTTTTTTTTTTATCTGGTTTGTGCAGTGATTTTGTTATTGTGTTTGCAATTGGTGGTGGTTGTGATGGTGGGGTGGTGGTGATGTAGCGACGATGATGTGGTGGTGGAGGTGGGAATGACTCTAGCAATGGCTCATGCTACTTCGGTGGTTCTTGGAGTGGATTTTGTTGGTGGTGTTTGTAGTTGATGGTGATGTTGGCAATGGTGGTGGGAGGTTGGGTGGAAAGATTGTTTGTGATCAATTATTTGGTTGATTCTGATAATTAAATTAATTAATATATGATCGATGAAATAGATAATTTGAGACCAATAAATAATATGTGACCTAAATATTTGGAAAATGTGATTAAATTTGTAATTGTAACTCAAAATTTGTCAAATTGTGATCAATTAATTTAATAATTTATTATCGAAAAATAACTTGTGATCTATCAAATTTGTGATTTTAACCATAATACATGAACTATTAATTTGATAAATTGCACCTATAAATTTTTTGATTTGTGACTGAAAAATAAAACTAACCAATTAATTTAATATATGTGACTAAGTAATAAATTATTACTTATAAAATTTAATTTGTAACTACAATGTATGTAATTATGATTAGCACGTAACTGTGACAATAAATTATATTGTGACATTAATATATATTTAATTAACAGAATTATTTAATTAATAAATCTTAATTAAGACCTAATTTTTGAAACTTTAAAATAATTTTCTTGAAATTGTATATTATAATGAATAATGCTGTTTGGCTAGAACGATAGACAGAAAATCGGGTGATAGGGTGGAGTGACAACAATTGATTAGGTGTTTTTTCCCTCAAATTGTTCAATCATGTGTTGATATGCGTCCTAGTATTTTAAATTTGTCATTGAATCTATCATTGTAGCAAGACTGTATTATGATTACCTTAAATATGAAATTTTCCCATAACACATTCAATTGACCAATTGAACTTACAAGCAAACAAAAATCATCCCCAATCCATCCAAGTGATTTTTGAAGTCCAAAATTAAGTCCGAGTTAAAAGATTTCAGCCTGCCAAGTCAAGCTGTCTTTCCATTTAGTCAAGACCGAAGAGCCCACTAGTCAAGCATCAAGAATGAGCCCGACTAGCACCCATACTACAATAGGGAAGAATACATATATCCGGTGTATTGTATACACCAGTTCACATTTGAGGTTTTTAAAAAAAAAATTCATAACTCAGGTATTATATATATATATATATATATATTTCTGTTACAGCAGTTTGGAAAATCAAGCTCAGTTACCATTTATAACAGGATTCTTTCCACTACAACAATCGAGATCTCAATCAAAAGAGCCCAAATTTCAGAATTTCACGTCACAACCCTATTTTGGCCGCCGGAGAAGGAGAAAAGAGAAGGTAACGGACGATGAATTTGAACTTAATATTTTCAATTTTGTATTTGGATTGATGAAAATTAATTGTTCGTGTCACAGATTTGGGACTCAATTTCGTGAAATTAACACAATCGCAGAGAAGAAGACAATCTAGGTAATTCTTCGACAATATTGTGGATAGCTACTATGTTTGTAGTCACGATCCATCGAATAGGATCTGCGTGCAGTCACATAATCGCCCATCGGATCTATTCTGGGTGCATATTTTGTTTGATGCAAAAACATTGTTCCATATCAGTGTTGTGAACGAATCTAAACTACCTTAAACCATCTTTGGGATTTATTTCGATGATCTGTGACCGGTTCGATAATCTGAACAGATTGTAACCACACCAATCAGAGGATGTATGCAGCCTATGTTACCAGTTTTATGTGATTTGTACTGTAATAGGTAGATGTAGAGGCTTCGTTTTCGAGCATGAAATGTAAACTATGTGAAAAAATGTGGCATGCAATTTATTCCATTATGCACACTTACAACAAATGTGACAAATGTAATGGAAGCATGTGTCTATTGCACCACGCATCCTGACATTGATTCCTGTCATATGTGACTTTTTCATAAATGTGACCGAAATGTAACTACGTGAAACAGTGGTTGCCATCCACGTATGTGACCTCCGTTTCACCTACAGTAAGATAATGTATTTTCGTTTGGATACATAGTAATGCGACTGCTCGCCAATTTAGTTAGCAATGCCACATATGAACAGAAGTTCACATATCCTATGAATATCGGGTCAAATATCTAGCGTACCTTCTCATATATCTGGCAGGAATGTAACCACATGAAACAGTGGTTGCCATCCAACATATGTGACCTCCATTTTATTGCATCTTTAGTCTCATATATTACTTGTTCACAAACGTGACCTCCATGTCATTACAGTCATTCATGTTTGAACTGTATGCATTGTATTACAATAAATCAGCTACATGAAATTCAATTTTTGTAGGAATGGTGTACGTGCACGTATGTTTGCTATATCGATCTCAGTCAGCGTTGGCATTGGTAGACCGTGGTTGCGGATACGTAAACCTTGTTGACACAATCATGTCAGAGTTCAGCTTGGATCCTACGAAGGTGGCAGTGTCACTGAAGTATGTCCTGAATGACAATTTGCCTCCTAAAACGGATCTATTTAAGATTCGAAAGATTGGTAGTCATACATGTGCATCAAATGTAGTGTTGGGGTCACATAGACAAGTCACAACTGCAGTTGTTTCATCTAGAATCAAGTATAAGTACACATCGTCCAGCACCATATACACACCAAAGGATATATGCAGTGAAATGTTGCATACTTTTGGAGTTTATTTGAACTACACGAAAGCTTGGAGATGCCGTGAACAAACCTTGAAGATGATTAGGGGTGATCCAACCGAATCATTCAGTAGGATACCAAGTTTCTTCTACATGCTCCAACAAAAGAATCCAGGTACGGTCACATATCTAGAGATTGATAGTCACAACAGGTTCAAGTATTGTTTTATGGCACTCGGTGCTTCAATACGTGGGTGGCCACATTGTAGGCCTGTAATTGTAGACGGTACATACTTAACTGGTCATTATGGGGGCACACTCTTCATAGCATGTATACAGGATGCAAACAATAGCATATTTGTTCTTGCTTTTGGTGTTGGGGATAATGAGAACGATAAATCTTAGAGATGGTTTTTGGAAAAACTAAAAGAGGCTTATGGATATAGAGAAGGACTATGTTTTGTATCAGACCGTCATGGCAGTATAAAGAAAGCAATAGAACACGTGTATCCAGGAGCCTGTCATGGTATTTGCTCGTATCATTTGTTACAGAACCTGAAACATTATTATGGAAAATCAGGAGAAAATATTACACAAGCTTTCAACTCGGCTGTCTGCGCTTACACATTGGAGGAATTTGAATACAACATGCATCGACTACACACAATGAATGACAATATTACTGGATACCTGGTAATGTATTGCTTTCCAAAAATAGATATCACGCACACTAAATTGGTCACATATGTCATTGTATATGGAACTCATATGTATGATACATGTTTGCAGGCTGAAGTCGGCCCTGAAAAGTGGTCGAGAATTCATATGCCAGTGAACAGATTTTCCACAATGACATCAAACATTGTAGAATCAGTTAATACAGTCACAAAGGCAGCTAAGAATTACCCCATTGTGTTGTTGCTAGAATCTTTACGACAAACAGTGCAAACTTGGTTCTGTAAACATAGAGACGAGGCGCATGGAACTTTCACAATGTTGACAAGCAAGTTTGAGAACAGTTTAAGAAAAATGAGTTCAGAATTAAGGAACTTAAGGGTAGGTATCTTATCTTTATCCTGATGTTTGTGTATGTGTACTAAATGAAGATACATGTGACCTGACCATAATTGCATCCAACCTGGAATGAACAGTTGTGATTGTGTTCTAACTATAAATGCATGTGACCCAGTATTAAATTCATCTCTCTTGAAATTTGCATTTGCAACGCTGAGTAATTTGATGTTTGCATCTGTGACTTGAATCCATGATATCCAAAATAAAGTATGACTGCATGTGACCCGATTTGAGCAATGTACACTGAAATTTGCATGTCTGTGACCAGAACTGATCATTTTGAAACTGACAAAATACAATTGGTACCACAACACTACTCTTTTGCAGGTATCTGCTTTCAACCAAACAATTTTTTCCGTCATCAGCAATGACAGGTCCACCTTTGTTGTTGATATTGAGGAACGTACATGCACGTGTCGGATGATGCAAGTCGATCTGATGCCCTGTCCACATGCATTGGCTGTAATTGCGCATACAAAAAGGGATCCGTATGCTTACTGTTCATATTATTACACAAAGGATGCATTTTTAAAAGCTTATGAACATTCAGTATATCATATTGGAAACCCAGACGAATGGACAGTTCCTAACGAAGTACAAAACCAAATTGTGTTACCTCCTGACCAAAAACGAAGTTGTGGAAGATCTACAGAGAAAAGGAAGAGATCATCTAGGGAAGGCAAACCGAAAGTAAGGTGTGGACGGTGTGGTGAACATGGACACAACCGCAGGAGATGCTCAAATTTTCTTCCATTGAACAAGAGCATCCGACAGAGTAACAACGTTTGAAAAAGACAGCTCATAGTAGGGACCAATACCTGATTAAAACACCAAAGTTTTCATTCTTGAATAAGAAACATTATTCAATTGTGACCATATGTCATATTCTTGAGTTTGAAACATTACTGGAATAACAGCGTTGACATCACTTGTGACCAAATGTCTTTCACATGATATGTGGCCTTTCTTATCTAGTGGATACTGTAATCTGTGACTTGACATTTGTATATCTAGTGCATTCGTAAGAGCAAGAAATAACTGAACACTATAAACTGTGACCTGATATAACCACACTGTCAATAGAAAAACTAAAACTGTGACCTGTGGCTGTATTATTCAAGGTATTCTGTGACCTTTTATTAATATGTTTTGTGTCGCAATGTAAATATGTGACCTGATATTCATAGGATATGTGAACCTGCAAACTAAATCGATGACTAGTATTACTGTGTTCACTGTAAATATGTGACCTCATAATCATACGACGTGTGACTGCTATTACGAACTACAACTGTGACCAATCACATTATTGTGTACCGGAAGATTAATCTATTAGGAGATTACATGTGACCATAATGTCACTACAAAATCTTCAATTGTTGGTTCCAGGTCACAGAATGGCGACTTGTGTTTCTACTGAACATTGTCATCTGTGACCTGAAATTCATGTTTTCAGTGCTACAGAACATAAATGTGACCTCAGAATAAAATTTGCTCAGAATAAAATCTTGAACAGGTCGCAGAACAAAATATGAAGTGAGCACAGTAATCTGTGACCTGATATTCATACGTCCTGTGCGGGAAATTAAATATGTGACCAACCCGTCAGTAGAAAAACATAAACTGTGACATGTGCCTTTATTGAACAATGTAATCTGTGACCTGTTATTAATATGTTTTCTCTGCTACGAAACATGAAATGTGACCTCAGAATCATAAGACATGTGACTGATGTTAACGTGCAACATTACAAACAAAATTTATAAAATCTTGAACTATTTGTAAACAGGTCACGTAACAAAATATGTAGTGAACACAGTAATCTGTGACCTAATATTCATAAGTCCCGTGCGGGAAATCAAATATGTGACCAACCCGTCAGTAGAAAAACATAAACTGTGACCTGTGCCTTTATTGAACAATGCAATCTGTGACCTGTTATTAATATGTTTTGTGTCGCAATGTGAATATGTGACACGATATTCATAAGATATGTGAACATGCAAACGAAATCGATGACTAGTCACACTACTATGTGTCCAAACAACAGTTCATTACATACTAAAAGTAGTGGCACTCATGGAATACAAAAAATGAGTTTACATCAATAGGACAATATTCAAATCAATCACCCCCATTGATTTATAAAAGACTACATATTCGAGCATAAAATCTGTTTACAAAAACATTTATGACAATCCTCATTCAATGACAATGCCCTCTCCTTTTGTGGCCTGCCTCGGATTCTTGACATAGGTCTCCCGGTGTTTGTAGAGTAGCGATGCAATATCAAGTCTACATTTGGCGACATCAAATTTCTGTGGTATAGAACATCTGCCATCTCGAAGGATATATAAAGCATATAATATGACGAACACCCCGCAATCATGACTGTGGAATAACACAAAACAGTATGTTATGAAATAATATTAAAATATGTTATGTATGTAGTATTGGTCACATACTCACCCATTCATCTGTTGGGGTAAGTTATGCTATCACCTGTGACCACCTGGAACAACCGGCTTCCTGACAACAGAACATTAGGATCTTTTTTGAAAGCGGGGTATATGTCTTTTATCATGTTCTGGAAAGAGGAGTTTGTTGTTGTAGCTCTGTACTGTACTTTCCCAAATTTTGCTAGCTGCCGAATGTAGTAGAAGCATGCATCCATGTGCTGTGTGATCAAGAAGATAAGAAATAAGAGCAACATCGGAAAATTTCATAAAGTTGTGATTCTGTGACTTGTGACCAGGTTGGTATGTGACTTGTTGAACAAAACATATACTTATGAGACCACTGTGTCAGTGAACCGCATAGTAGTTCGTGCATGATGTGGTAGCAGAGTCGTAACGTGGTCTCATTTGTTAACAAGTAATTGTACAGTGAACAAATACATGAATGTTACCATACCCCGCTATTCAAAGACGTCTCAGGGTCTGGATATGAGCCAATAACAAAAGCTGGTTTGATTATGTCGTCATGCTCATTAAACTTTTTCCTGAAATAAGAAATGTAAGAACAATTTACTGTGACCATATGAGCAATAGATTGAAGAAAGGGAAGAAAATATTCGTGCCTTTTTATGGGCTTGTACCCTCTCTGGAACCAACCCAAGAATGTCGACTTATCAGCTTCTTCAACATTGTCTTTGTAACTTCCAAATACAATAATGTTGTCGTCATGCCGGAATAACTTTCCTGCACCCGCAACAAATGGAGAACACAAAATCCTCGCTGGCCTTGACACCCGCTTCATTGGTAATTCAGAAGGCGGTTCAAAAGTTGGAGATTCCTGTGTATTGAAAAAGATAAAATGTTAGTTTATGCAGAATGAATGTAACATGAATTCATGGATGCGTGTGATCTGTGTATTTCGAAACGTGTACCGTTCGTGACCTACGCATTCAGTGACCAGCATGCAGCACAAAGAACAAAATGGGAATACCTCTTCCTCAACATTTGCAGATGCTGTGACCACATCAGATATGACAGCATCTACCCGCTTTTGAATTTCTGCAGAGTGAGAAACATCCAATTGTGTGTATCCAAAAACCAAGTCAAATGATGGCGGTTGAAGACTACATTCAAAAGTAGCATCATCACTTGGGTCGACCTTCCCCTTCCCTTTCCTGTCAACAACAGGTTCCTAATTTCCCACCTGCACGTGAAATTGGAGAATATGACATGTGAAAAAATGTAAATACGGTCAGTGAAGGATGGATTGAACATATTGTTTACCTACCTCAGCAATCTTGTGAACTTCTTCGACAACATGACTTTCTTCACCTCCAACAACAGCAGGTTCCATATCTCCAAACTCTTTAACAGGACTACTTTTCCTATCGTTGAAAAGCCTTAAAATCTCATCCATAGTACTTGATATCATTGCAGTCACAGACTCGGACAAGAATTGCATATTCGTCCTAATTTCCGTCATGTCACATTTTATCTGTTCTTGCATCTTCATGATTTCATTAATCTTTTTTGTCTGATCACTCCGTTCCGTCCCATGATATTGTGGTTCATTTGGTGAATGTTGGGGGGCCAAAGGGCCTTCAGTAGCATTGGGCGTTTCCTGATGTGATGTCACCTCACATCGTCGTGGAGGATCCACGAAATCATCGTCGTCATCTGCAACATGAGCAGGTCCAACGCCAATGTCCATTACCAAAGGCACAGATTCTCCACTCATGCTAGCAGGGTTAGCAGACTTTCGCTTCCTGTTTTTCCTTCGATAGCTGCCACAGGAAAACTCCAGTTGATTTATTTTGTTATATTGCACCCCATCCATATATGGCATCGCCATTTCCGCTTCACTTGGTACCAGGTCACAGATCTGCATCTGCATTCCAGTAGGGATTAGAAAACAATAATGTTTACATATATTCAACTATCAGACAAAAATAATTGCTGGACCATTACATTAGGCTTCTTGAAGCAATCAGGCTCCTCCAACTTAGAAGCAGATGGTTGCTCGTTTGCAAACCAGTTTTTGATTCGGGGGTGCGTTGTTGATATCTTCGTGACAATAACTTCATCTAGACCAGGGAAGGTTTCGTAGATCCATGCTTGAAAGGCTACCAACATACCTCGTAGCCTGTAGTGTGTTGTTCGACGACTCAACCCATCTTTCAAAGAACTCAAAGTAACATCGAACAGTAACTTTCCCCACGAAAAACTATTCAGTGCAGGGAAGTCTTCAACGAGTGTGAACAAATAGTGATCAACAACTTTCTTATAATCTCTAGGAAACAAATAGGCAGTAATAAAATAGAGGATACCAATCAGTGCAACATCATGATCAGGGAGGGCTTCGACAAGATCTAAGTCCGGCATTTGGCAGGCAGATATAAATGTGGACTTCACATCTTCATGTGTTACACTACCTACCTGAGAAAAGTATTTTGTCTACAATTGTGACGGTCTACTTTCAAAAATACTGATGTCACTATTGCCGGAACATCTCAATCCCATGACCAGACAAAACTCAGCTATAGAAAATCTTACATATCGCCCGGCAACTAAAAACCACAGTTCTTCAGGATTGGGTTGATATACCTGCCTCAATAGGAAAAAGTGAATTAGCAGTGGTTGTACCACAATTTCATCGCATTCGAGGAAATGTGCGAAGCAAGTTCTCCTCATGATTTGCTTCTGATGGTTGCTTAAGTTAGTTTGTATACTTTTCAAGACACCCTTGGTCACTGATGTTGTAATCTTGCCTAGGAACCACTGTTCCTCTGGAATGATAAATAGCCAGGCCTACACGAAGTTTTTAGAATGACGTAATGTTAAACAAATGTAGTGAAAGCACAAACACATAGATATGCATGCACCTGTACAGTTAGCCTGAAACAAATTGTTTTGTACAGGTCACATATGTATGCAACAGTGCACTTAGACCACAAAAACATATTCATAATTCGATATCATGGTCACATAAAACTATTCAATAACTATGTTATCAATCAGGTCACATGCATGCACTATGTCATCCATTAAAGGCACAAATTCATAATTGTCTCGGTCACAGATTCACATATTGGTCACAGATTCACACACAAACGTAGTCAAATCACACAGTCAGCCTAGAAAACTGATTATTTTGAAAGGGTCACATATATATGTAACGGTGTACTCACGCCACAAAACATATTCACAGTGTCGTAAGACAATAGTAACATAGTCGCCGGCATGCGTAATAATATGAATTCAAGCCTCGCATGCACAACCACCTTAGTGACCGACGGATATCATGGTCACACGCCATAAGTCTGTTAAAAAACGTAGTCACAATTTGGAACTCATGGTCACATAAAACTCTTCAACAATTACGTTAACAATCAGTTCAGTACATGCATAATGTCATCCATTGATTAAGGCCACAAATTCATATTTGTCTCGGTCACAGATTGACATATTCATCACATGAACCTTCATTGTTGATGATGGTCATGTTCATCGACGGGGTAAACAAAACACATTTTACCACACATGTTGTTCACACACAATGAGGTGACGAAATTTTAATCCTACGATTACAACTGATTAAGTTTACAGATGTCAAATTAATGTTCAATAGCGCTAAACCCATGATTCAACCAACATGTGAGCCACTAAAATCAGAACGCATACACCAGATATTTAAAAAACCTTGTTTGATCGCACTTTTCTCGCGGACACCGAAACGACGTGCTTCTTAGGTGAGGTTCTTTTGGGGCTTTGCTCAGTTTTCCTCTTTTTTGTCCGTTTTGACATGTCTTCGACATTAGTAACCCGTTTTGCGCCCTTCGATTCCTCCATTTCACTTCGCTTGTTGATCCCAAGCAAAAAAATTGGGCGAAAACTACTTGAACAGGTTATATACTACTGCAAATGAAGCTGATAACACAGTTGCAAAATGGATAACGAGAGACTTCGAAATTACCGGATGTGAAATCAAACGTACGATCGAGCGGATTCGTGGGGCAAAAGTTTTGGGTAGTTTGGAATCGTGCAGAAGATATTGAGAGAGAGAGAAGAATTGGTATATTATGGAAGTTAGCTTAATGGATATCCTAATTGCGATAATTAAGGCACCAGTTTATTTATTAATATTTTAATAGCATAATATAAACCAGAAACGTGCATATAAATATTTCCAACCTGGCTTGTGAACTCAGATCTTCTGTTACCTAGAAATATGTAATTTCCACTACTACAATACCCGACCCGACAGTGATTGCACATGGGGCAGTCGGCGATGACAATTAATAATTTTTTTTTTTCATTCACAGAAAATAATTCCAAAAATTGTAATTTTAGTTTCTTGAGAGTTTTAGCCCTTGTTTGGGCTCCATTAAAATTAAATTTAAGAAAACTATATTTTGGAATAGTATTTCTTAAGAATGTGTGGCAAAAAAAAAAGGCAAAAAAGGAAAATTTTGAATTTATATGTAATATTATTTTACTAAAGAATGTGTGGTTGAAAATAAGAGAGAAAAATGAATTTTGAATAAAACAGAGCCCAATCAAGGTCTTAGAGAAATTAAAAATAGGGAACTTAACATAACTCCTAGTTTTGAAAATCACATTTCATAAATAACAAACTTATTAAAATATTTCAAAAATCAGGTGGTAAATAAATTTATTAAATATTAAAATATAATATAATATACATTAATTATTTTCCACCCATTCTACCTCACCCACCCCATCATCTGACCCCACTACACCACCTTCCCTCCACTTCTCTACCAAAGGATCATCGGCTCTGGCGATTGCTCTGACGGTCGCTCCGGCGGCAATTCCGATGATCACTCCGGCGATTCCAAAAATTAAAACCGTTTTCTCTCTCCATAGAAGCTCTCCCTCTCCCTCTCCCTCTCCCTCTCCGTCTCCCTCTCTATACACATTTTCAAACACAACTTTACAGATGGTGGTGATGGTGAAGTGATGCTATGTTTAAAAAATAGATCTCTATAGTGCAGAGATAATGCATTGGAGGTAATGAAGTTGCACTGTAGTTAATCTATTTGGTGGTGGTGAGGTGTTGGCAATGTTTTGAGTACTATGTGATGGCAATAGTGTTATATTGTAGTTGAAGAGTTTTGTGATTAATTGTGTTATATATAACCAGATATATAGTTTATAACCATACCTGTGTTATCTATGACTAACTGTGACTAAACCGTCTGCGACCAAGTCAGTGTGTCGCTGACATGTGTTGTCCATGACTAATTGTGATCAACTTTGTATTCAGTGTGACTATCTATGACCAATTCAATATTTACTATGGCGGTATGTGATCAAATCATAATCGATCACGGTTAATGCAGAATTAGTCACAACTTCCACAATAAACACATACTTGACCTCAAAGAGTCACCATAAACAAATCTTCACACACCGTAGCCCAGTACCATAATCCACCATCAGGTTCTACCATGTTCACCTCCAACTTTACTACTTTCACCGAGCTTTGTTATTTGTGACTAATTGTGATCAATTTTGTCTTCAGTGTGACTATCTATAACCATATCTATCTAATTTGTGACTATATGTAACAAAGTCACATACAGTCACAATTATTATAGATTTGGTCACAGACAGTCACATTGAAGATAGACTTGGTCATACTCGATTTTCATCCTCACTACCACTGCTCCCAACAACGTCAATCAAATGCGCACCACCATCACTTTTAACAAATCCTAACCACCACCACTGGTATCATCGTACCACTACCACTTTGTGAAAGATCGAACAATAGGTATGACACATACAACCTTAGATATATCACCACCAGCGAGGTACTACTTATGCTACTGGGTTGATTGCAACTGTCTGTGACTCACGAACTTGGGTTGATTGCACAATGGCGCCCATCGATTCTGTCGAATTATGTACAACAATCCCCAATTAGTTCTACAGAATTAAGGTATTTAAAGAGAGTAGGAAGATCAATAGAGAGAGGAGATTGATACAGCAACCCCCAATTGATTTTGCGCCCGATCGATCATTCTATGTGTCATGATTACCCAAATAATTGGTCACAATTGGTCAACATATCACCCCCACTTCAACCCACCGCCATTCTACCAAAATCGATACCACCCGAACATCGCCATCACCTCATTACCACCACCGGCAAACTTGTACTCATATGTTGTTGCCAACCTACCCTACCGGCACCAGCACCACCACTACTTGCATCGAAGTCACATCATTTTCGACTGGGTACCAACTTATTTTTCACTTAGTGACCATCTCGAATGGTAAATTAACATAAATAATTGATAGATTTGATTCCAACGAATCAATGATAACAAACCCACAAGATGTCAACTGCAGTAGCTTGTCCATGGGAACTGGAAACCCACCTCCACCACTCTTCCTCAACAAAAACCCCAACGGATCTGTTACCCTCTCCTCTTCGACTCTGCTTAGATTAGGCTCCAAATTACTGCCTTACTCCATCATTTGTAACAGAAGATATCAAAACAAATATTTTCTGTTCACCCTATGATAAAACATTGAAAAATAGATGAAAACAGCAAAACAGTTGTATAAATGGAAATATTTAGGACGAATTTCAACGAGGTAAAAGTAGATTTTAGATGAGAAATGAATGGATAAGTGTTTGGTCTACCGCGCGCAGTGGTTGTCGCTGCGTGCATCTGCTTTCTCCGATAGTTATGTTATGCCCTAGGGGTTAGGTGGGGGCAGGTATAGTGGTAGTAGAAACTAGAGATAGAGAAAAGGAAAAGTGATGAGAGAGAGAGAGAGAGAGAGACAAGAGTGGCTAGTAGAGAGAGAGAAAGTGTGTGGGGGCTAAGTCTGGAATTAACTGGGGTGAAGGTGGTGTGGGATTATTATGCAAATTAAGGTTTAAATAAATTTGTATTAATTACAATTAAAAATTTTATTTACCACCTGAAAGCTGAAGTTTGAACCTAACCCTTTTATTTATGAAGACTAATATTTAATTACAGGGTTTTAGGTAATTTTCCCTTAAAAATATTTTTCTTTCCTAACTACCAAGAACCAACTTTCAACCAAAACTTTTTAACAAAAAAAGTCGTATGAAAACTATGATTCGTGCTCAAGGTCAGATCGCTTGAGTTTTACCATGTTCGATTTTTTTACCAACAAAACTTACCTTGTCAATAAAAAACGAGTCTTGACTCAATTATAAATTCTAACCAGAGTGAAATATGCTTAAACCTTGCCACAAAAAAAATAAAAATATATATTCACCCCTGGTTGTGGTTACCATAATGCGAAATATTTTGTCCGAATATTAAAGGTATTTAAAATGAAAAAATTGAGAAAAATCAAATATTAACCATATATGGACGGTCCGCAAAGTTACTCAATCACATTAAAGTCTGATGTCAATCATGTAATTAAAACTTGACTGTCATCCGCCCCTCATGAGGTGAATGAGTTGGTGGAGTAGGTGAGTCGAATACCTTTGGTCACGAGTTCGATTCCCCTTACCAATACTTTTTCGATTGAATCTATCACACAGGACTTGCCTAATACGGTTTATCTAATTGGCATGATTTGCAGGCTATTGCGTCAATCCGAGAGTTTACTCAGTGCGCACCCGAAGGGTAAAGGCTGCAGGTTCCCCCGTCGTAAAAATAAAAAAATAAAAAGTGGCCGTCGTCCAGTGTAATTAACCCCCACACAGTACACATCAAATGAATAGTAAAAATTCACTTCAACCAAATTAAACATGCCACTGCCCACGTCAAATTACGAATTACACACCTAGATCACCAGTAGTAGAGTATTTCAACAATATACAAAGGCTCTCTATATATATGGATTAGGTCTAGATATCATCTTTATTACCAGTTAATTTTCTATTTTTCTATCATTTCATTCTAAATAATGAGCAGAGCATGTTAATCATGCGTAAGTGGACTGTATTTCAATAAGGAAGATAAGGTCAATCTATAGTCTTTTTCTACAATGCAATTATTATTACATAGAGAAGTTGGAGATTGACAGAGACCCATAGATATTAAACATAAAATATCATTTTTTTTTTTTTATTATTATTTTCCATGACGAACACCATAATCAATTTTTTTTTAATTTCTTACAACATATTGGATTTTAATGGCGTGGCTTATAATGACAAATTTTTTTTGCCACAAGTTGGTAGTTAGTTCTTATATTTTATCATAGTTGATAAATCACGATTGTTTGACGCCTTTTCTAGTGGGCAATTAACCTGACAATCTTTCCAAATATTGTTGGTATATTCATAAAGCGAAAGTTGTTCAACTACAAACAACTTAATCTGATTATAAATAAAATTTGGTATATATTAATAATTATTAATTTTTGCGTGTGGGAAACAATTTAACCACTTTGTTGGGCCATCCTTACTAAGAATATCTTGTAAAAACTACATATTTTTCTCTTGTATTAGGTCTCCAATCCCTTTAGAGGTGTAATCTTTTTATCTACAAGTGGACTTCGATTTTGTCTTGTGACGCACTACACTTTTATTGACAAAGGTGGGATACACGAATGAAATAATTGACTATCACATACACCTTTTCTCCTTCTGAAAATTACATAACATCAAAAAAATACAATTCCTCTTTCTCTCCGATTCATCATCTATATTCATTACCGATCCATAAGAAAACTGAACATTCCTATTTTTCTTAGACTCTATTGGATAGTTCGATGGAGTATATAATTGTGGCATAAGTAATCTAATCTCGAACTCTAACAATATCAACAAGCATTTCGTCATCCTATTGAATAATAGGGATTTATCGTCTCAAACACGTACTTTAGCGGATTAATGCTTAAGATTATTTCGTGTCATTGACATCACTTGAAATTCTACCGGGAAATATTAAAAGAACAAACCTTATGGGAAGTTCATAAAAAAGCGATGAAAGAAGTCAAGCAGTTGGCAAAGAAGGAGTCGTTAACAGGGTGAGTTGTAAAAGAAAAATCAATAATATTTTAAGTTTTTTCTTCTTTAATTTAGTCTATGTTTGATGGTTATTATTGTATAAAAAGATGTTCTGAATAGTGATTTCTTACATAACGTGTGCTTAAAAAGTAGAAAAAAATTTAGATTTAAGTACAAAATATTTTATCGTGTGAATACATAATTGAAAATGAGTATGATAAATAAGTTATTTTGTTTTAAAGGGAGTCACATGAGGGTTATTTATTCAATGGAAATTGGTCTAATTTTCTAAACATATTACGAAGTGTTGAATTCCACAAATATTATACGAACACTTCACAATTTTTATGGACTTTTCTGAGTAAGAAAAAATTAACTAAATAATTGCATAATTTTTCATATATTAATTAACTATAATCATTAAACAATAATTACAGAATTGTAATTTTGCTTTTGTATGACCTCAATTTCATCTATTTGCAGTTTTTATTCATATGCAAAATTTACAATTCTTCATCTTCATATCATATACTCACACTACAACTCTGAGAAATTTGATACTTAACTGCATTTCCGATCCATATTCCGGTGTTCTGGTTGTTTCCGAGAGATATATACGCCGGACAGCTGACGTGGAGGTGGTATCGGCCGGTGACGAACGAACCAACTTTCCATTTCACACGGCTATCAATCTTGAACACGACCGGTATGACACCATTGCTCTGGTCCTGGCTCAGGGCCAAGCCATTGAACGGCGCCACCGGCACGTTATCTCCATAGACAAAAGGGGACCATAGGTTCACGTCCTTGTGGCCCTGGTACACTGGTGGGATGGATGTGAAATAAGTGATTTGCTGGTGGTGATATGTGGCGTAGACATCCATTTTGTCGTAGTAAATGCCAATTTTGTCGTTGGGGTTCCGGGAATAGATGGTCACCTGTATGCTGGTGGAGATGATGTTCGGGGTGGCGGTCGACACAGTGAGGTTGAAGACGGTGGCGTCTTGGAGGACGAAACGGGGGCTTTTGGGCTCGAGAATGGCGAACACGAGGAGGATGATCACTAGGATGATGAAGATGAAGATGAGAATCGCGGAGAACCACCGCCAGAGGAGCTTTCGCCTCTTGCTCTTGTGGTGGCTACACTTTTCTGACATGATTCCGGCAGGAGGGCCGAGGCGCCAGCGCCGGTAAAGGGTGGAGCTTTTGTTGAGGGGCTGGGGGAGCTTTTCTTCTAAGATAAAATGGAGAGTATATGGTGTAGGCTTAAATAAATAAATAATATGTCCAACGCTCTCTGACTTGAGAATTTCCTTTAGCACACTGCAAATTATAAAAATTGTACAAGCAGTCCCGAACTTATTTCACAATAGCAATTTAACTATCAACCTTTAAAAGGAGGCAAGTTGATCCCCGAACAACAGTTATTGCAGTGTAAAAGTTGTCACGTGATACTTTGAAACCATATATCATTTCAAATCTATAGGTGTCAAACTTAGGTTTTTAAATTCGGCATGCGAGGGTCACAACAATGGACTTTGCTATTTGTACATCCGGGGTTGATGCCTCGGATGACACTCCCCTCACAAGAGGGGGGCCCGTAATTATTTTATTATGTATGGACCCCCCTCTCTTGTGAGGAGAGTATCATCCGAGGTGTCAACTCCGGATGTACAAATAACTTTATTGCACGACAATTTAACAAAAATATGAGCGATTCTTCATTGAAATTGATTATGAAATTATAATAAAAGATCAGTGATTAACTTGCAATAGGATCAATAAGTTGAATACCGATTGTGCAATATTTCCACATATTTAATCCCTCATGTGAGAAAAATAGCTGAAATTGCATAATTTCTTAATCAATAAGACAATAATATGTTACTACTATGTTCCATAAAGACGGGTTTGATTTCCTTTTTGCCTGTCCCGAATTATACACCAATTTCCCTATTAAGTGTGTGTTTGAGTCAAATTATTTTTTAAGAATGTATTTTGAAATAGTAGATTGATGGCGAATGTGTGATTAAAAAATAAGGAAAAATTTTGAATTTACATGTAATATTATTTTATTAAAAAATATGTGATTGAAATGATATTAAATCACTGTTTAATAATATATTTTTTCAAAATAATGCGGCTCAAATAGAGCCTAAAAATTTAGATATTTTTATAATTTTTAATATGCCCATATTTAAATTTATATTTTCAATTATAGTAATCTTAACCTGTGTAAAATAGAAACAAGTCTATATTTATGGGAGGAAGATGTTATAATTTTAACTGAAATAAAAAATAATTTATTTCAAATATAAATATTTTATGATGAAGTAAGGTTTACGATATATAATTTTCAGTTGGCAGACTTGAGAAGCTAATTTTTAGTGATAATTCAAGTGATATCTAAGAAAATGATGGGTGTGGATCACAGTTTTTTGACTACTAATATACTGTGCAAAAAATTATATATATTATATTATAGGGAGATGCCTCACATACAGGGGACAATTATAAAGGTCGGTCAAGGCAGACACAAGGGCAAGGCCCACTCAATTTTTTTCTTTTTTAATGTAGGTCGATGGGAACGACCTGCAACTACAGTGAGAGGGCCTGTAAACTTCTTGTAGTATAGTATCCTGTACGCAGGGCATTGTTCTATATTATGAGGGTGTTTGGTAGATATTTTTATGTAAAAATGTATTTTTGAATAGTAAATTGATTGAAAATGTGTGGTTGAAGAATAAGTAAAATTTTTTGATTTACGTGTAATATTATTTTAATAAAGAATGTGTGGTTGAAAAGAAAAGAGAAAAAAATGTATTTTCAAAAAAAATGGGTACCAAACAGGCTCTATATTATTGTCAATAAACTATATTATTTTTAACTCATCTATTGTTGCATGGCACCATCAACGACAATTACCATTTATTTGCTGGCATTACCAAACGTAATTATTAGATTTTTGAAAGCTATAACGTCTAGATGTTCCATTTTGTTCAAAAAATATTCGATAAAATGGAAAAAAAAATATTTTTTATACAAATGGCTTTCCTTCCGCTTGGGCTTTTCTAATTTATCATCCTTTTTTTAATTTATGATGATCTGAGCTAATGAACCCAGACCGTTGCCTTGGAGTAGATAGGGGCCCACTTATATAGATATTCACCACTTCACCAAGTCCCCAAAAGGGCTTCTGACAAGAGAACTGATTCTTTTGTTACTGTGCCTAAAATTGTCCCTACAAAATCATCCTTGTAGTTTGGGAAACCTATGACCTCCAATTAATTAATTTGGGAAAAAACAAAAAACAATCTTTTTTTGTGAATGATTACGTTTTCTCGAAATAAAGAGAGAGTTATTTTTGGATTACGTAACCATGTACACAATGGACATTCTTATGTACTCCAAGAAAACCTAGAAAAAAATTACAATTAAACTACTTTATTAGAATTTTTTTGACATAATGATTGATATCCTCTCACAACGCGTGAGTCAAGTATGAATAAAAAAGTTCAAAAAAGAAGTGAACTCCCTCCCATTGTGAGTGTTGGTAAACCATTTTGTCAAACTTATGGTCACCATAGCATTGTTGAAGAAATTAAGCCTCCATAGGAACTTCATTTTTCAAAATTTTAGGTTCCGTCAAAATTAATTTTAATAGAAAAATATATTTTGAATTGTGATTTTTTAAATAACGTGTGATTAAAACGTACGAAAAAATTTTAAATTTACATATAATATATTTTTTTTATGAAAAAAATGTATGATTGAGAAAAAAAAAAGAGAGAGAGAAATGCATCTTGAAGTAAAATGGAGCCCGAACATAGGCAAATTTTCTATAAATTCATTTTCAATCACTTTATTCTTCTAATACAATAATTTTATACGTAAAAAAAACTTTCTTCATATTTTTTTAACTTTACATTCTTTATAAAATCACTATTAAAAAATCTATTTTTCAAAAAGAAAAATAGGACTAAAAAATACGCTAACTAAAGCTCGTTAATTCTGCAATTGAACGATAAGCACCCTTTTTGTTGGGTTAGTTAACAGAAAAGGTGAAAGGAAACATGCGATGATAAATTATTGCAACCAAAAGTATGAAGTTGAAAGTGGGGCGAAAAGAAGACATGGAAAATGAAAGAAAATGAAACATACCAATAGGGATCCTAAATTTCATATTCTAGTAGAATAATGCAAAGACAAAAGTCATTTTCTTCCTTTCATCATTTGCAAATAATGTGCTTTTTTTTTCTTTTTTTTTTTTTCCGTGTTTGCAATATTATTATTCTATAAATTGTTACGTCCACGACACATCTTTTATGTCATGATGGACACGAGGGTATAAGCCTAAAACATACTACTTAGAAAATCTATATTTTATGTACTCCTCGACTCCCACTCCTTCTTGTGCTCCATATCTCTAAAGGGTCTAATGTACTCTTCTCGATACCACTAGACAACAAAGTTAGGATCCGAAAGAGGACTTTAACCCTCATTACGTTCTAGTAAGAAGGATAAAAACACCCTCCCAGTAAGTGTCTATACACATTTCATGTCATATTAAAAAAGAGAATTGAATATTCAAAGCTTGCTTGTCAATGAATGATTAATTACTGTAATTTGGATAGTCATATAAAGCCATCAATCCAAATTTTCTGCTCACATTTTACATGCTAATAGTGAATCAGAAAGAGAACAAGACAAATTATTGCTTAAAAACTAAGGCAAACACTCCAAAAAAAGGGAGGGGAAGCAGTTCAATACAGCTTTCTCTTTGCTGTAATTCTAGGATTTCTCCTACATTAAAACCTCTGCAGGTTATTGACAACACCTATGAGGAGATGTTTGTCGCCACAAGAGGTCTCATCATGGTACATCGGCGCATTTACATACTTAAAGCCAGAGAACATAGGTACAAGAAAGTTTGGATTGAGCTATGGTGAAAACTTAAATTTTGCAGCCGTGAAGCCTCAAAGACTACATCAACTCAAAGAAAGTCTCGGAGGAATGAGTTCGAGTGAAGAGATTATATGAAAATTTGTATGACAAGAAATGATGACGACTAAGCAGCCATGATGACAGCGAAAATGTAATGATGGATAGATCAAATTCAAAAAACATAATATCCAAGTATCCTATGATTTTCGGGCTTTATACTTTTGCCGTTGCCTAGCTAGGTCTTGGCGTTGGACCTGCAAAAATAGAATGACATATATAGGATAGGTAAATTATGTTGGGAAATTTTCATCAACGGGGTTTGGAGAAGAAGAAATATATAAAAATAATGAAGAAGATGAAAATAAGAAAAAGAATCATAATGAATATGAAGGCTCAATTACGACATTATATCGTTGTCCTCAAACGATATTTGCCTCATCTCAAATACAAATTTGGTGCTTAAAGGGTATTGTGACAAACGGTTTGAAAGATTGACCAAACCTTGTAAAGAATCAACTTAAGCACTTGTATGAATTCTCCAAAACTTCAAGAGCACAAAGGGAATATTGAATATGAATAAAAAAGATTTTTATTTCTTCTTTCTGGAATCAAGATTATGATCACAAATGTAATCAAGTGTTTTCTTATGATTTCAATATTGATTTCACATCTTTATATTGATTATCCATGGCCTATTTATAGGCCTCGATCAATGTCCACGAATTGGTGCCAAAATCGTATTGAAAAGTTGCACATCCCAAAAGGCACCATAATTCAAACCAAAATAACCTCCAACGGTCACTAAAGAACTATCATGCAACCGCATGGTGTATTCCCATGCGATCGCATGGTTTATACAAAACTCGGCCTCCATGTTTCGATTAGCGACCATGTGACCGCATGGCTCCGCATAGGCAAAAGTATTGGCTCCCATCTCCTCTTTCTTTCCAAACTCGTGTTTATTGATTTATTGAACAACATTTTCCATCAATTCCGCACTTGTTCAAAATTCAATAAACTCTCATATTCAAAGTATACAATACTCATGCATAAGGATTAAATATCTTTCGATTTGAATCTAACCAAAGTGTAATCCAAACAAAGTAAAATCAGAATCAAAGGTAGCTTGAAGTTTTGAACCAATTATTCCATGTGACAATACCAATAAGGACACACACACGAGCATTACATGTTCTCAAGTTCCTCAATCTCGCTTAGCGCTAATATGACATTACGCTCATCCTTTTCAACAAATTTTTAAGTGAGAGATTCCAACTCTCTATTGAAGCTGCACCACCTCGGAGTTCGTTAGATGAAGTTCTTCCAATATCTTTGTTACTTTTAGAGATACTTATCTTCTAGCACTAAACTTCATTAAAAGCTTTTAAGCTTAACCCTCACTTTAGTAACAACCAGCGTTATTCAATAAAGATTGGTTATCGGGGATATTAATAATGCTATAACTATCCACGTATCGAATAATTTGTTGTTACCCTTTGAACTTGTAGATTACCTTTTGAGTAATAACAGGTAGGGTTGCTACCATTGGTAGACCTTTTTAGGTTAGGAGTTTTAACCCCATCCAATTCAAAGTATGCGTTACTAAATCTTTATTTAAAGACTTAGTTAAAGAATCCGCTAAATTTCTATGGAAATTATCCCATCTTTGATAATTTTCTAGTGAAGTCCCGTCTAAGACTTATATGTCTTGACTTCCATTACATGCGACTAAGTATTTTATTAAATGTAGCTAACCAATGATCAATTCATTTAATAGATATAACTTGTCACCACCAATAAATCTTTTTATGAAGCTACATGATTCTCAGTAGCTTTGATTAAAGCTTTGTAGAATTCCAAACATGATTGAAGGACTTTTGTTAAATCATTTACACTAAGTCAATCACTTTTACTAGTGGATTTTATGACTTCTCAGAGCTCTAAAGAAGAATTCTGTTACATTGCAACATCCTTCCGTAGATACGTGGATATTCACTCCTCATTATTGAAATATTACAACGATCTTCAATATTACGAATATTCTCTAAATATTCCAATTGTTTTGGAAATGTCATAATCGACTTTCGCCCATTTCATCCACTTTAAACTTAGTGTGTATTAACCTTACAATTGTATAAGGATTTTCTACATTTCTCCTTCATAGATATCTTTCTATGATTAGATAATTGTGACTCTTATATTCAATTACTCCCACAATTCCTCAATTACGAATTCACATGCCATCTTGTATTATTATATCCACAAGTCTTGAACCTCTCATATAAGATCACAAGCATCAATGTTAACCCCACATTTGGGATTATTTTTGAATTGAGAGTTTATTAACTCATTCATAGTTCAATTCACTTATCACTTGGATAATATCCGTGAAAGTTTAGATATTTCGGATAGTAGTCATTAGATCACTATGTACTTCAAACCAATTGTCTTTAATTTTGATCGCACACAATTTGATCAAAGTCATCTCATAGACCGATAATGCTTTTCATACACCAACTCAACTATTTTCACGATTGAAATCAAATTCAATCAATTAAGAAGGTTAAGTATCTTAATTTACAAGAATTATTACTTCTTCAAACATAAGCAATTTATCATTTTCGTGACATTCATAAGAGAGCATCATATCAAATTATAAGGTACATGTTCACCTTATTCACAATTGGACAAAATAACATTTTGGCATACCCATATGCAAACACAATTTTGCATAAATTATCTCACTTAGTTTCATAAAATTATTTGAGACTATCATCCAGGGGCGGACCCAGCCGTTTTGGGTTGTGGGGTCAAAAATTTGAGTTGTGCTACAGTGCCCACATGAATGACTGCAGGGTTGGCACAACATATTCATGGGACCTCGTCGGGCATGTGAGGGCACGGTCACTTGAGAGGTTGTCCTCGCGGATTGTGCTTAACTCCAAAAATTAATGTGTAATTTTTTAAAACAATATAATATTTATAAAAATAAGTTAATATGCATTTTGACATCTTGAAAGTGTCTTATAATTCTATCATTATCAATATTGTTAAATGAATTTTGCTACATGTATAGTTTTGTTTACCATGTCATTTATGGATGTTGAGCTAACGACGAGTAAATCAAATTGGATGTAGAAAGTAAATGAAATTTAAGTTTAACGAAAAAATAATTTGAAAGTAATTCAAATACATTTAATCCGTAATGATTTTAGAATTTTTGACATCATTTTTAATGTAAATTTTCCTAATAAAATGATGTAAATTATATTGGAAAATTTATCGTGAAAAAATAATAAACGTTAATGAAATAATTGTTTTTTTTAAAAGACGAGTTAAACGTTTCTTTTAATACGTACGTTTGACGCATATTTAACTATTTTCGATATCTATTTGGACCATTCGATATGATGACGATGTAGTTTTCATAACGAACTTCTAGATAATGCAAGCGATTTGTAGATTTGGATGGTATACGATCATTAGTAAATTTTAAAAGTTAGTACATTATCGAAATTTTTGAAATACTAATTTGGAACGGCCTACTTTGATACATCGTAACTTTTACTATGGTTGATCATTTCGTACATCAATGAGCGCTTAGAAATGATATTAAGAATGCAATATTTCAATTTCATTTTGTATGTATTAAAGCGGGTCGAAAACGGGTTAAAACAACCATTTTCTGAAGGGGAAAAAAAACCAAAATTTTGTCCCTTGTGGGTCCACCCCTGCTATCATCATGAATCAAAGATAGTATAATTTCCAATCAAATATTAAAATTTAACCAGCTGATTTACCATGTCATTTTTCATATTCCAATAAGAGGAATAGTTCATGAAGCCAAATAATTGGCGTTCTCCCAACGTTTATGCATGTATAATGGTTAGGAGTGAATTTTCTCCTTTTTATTCATTTGTTGACTCGTATTTGTCTCAACTATAACCAATTCATCACACTCATATTTCAAACAATTATACATTCATTCTCATGTCGTGGACAAATAATTGAAGTGAAAAATCTCCTGATTTCCTTCCAAATAGGAATTAATTAAAATTAAACCATTGGTCATCATTTCTATATTCTTAACTTCCAGAAATGTTAGTCAAACAAGGAAAATATATAAAATCAAAAGATAACTTATCTTTAACTATTTTCCTTTAAAATTCAAGTAAATGAATAGGCATGAACGCAACTGCGTTGTGAAAAGTTACACTTTCAAATACAATGCACATATTACAATGCACAAATATGTATGCATCGGTTCATTAATATCAAAATGTATTATGAATTTCAAAACTAATTATCATATCAACTTTGACTCCAAACATCGTCATCATATGAACTGGAAAGGTGCCAGGAAATAAACTGCAAGCAATTAAAATTGTGGACATTCTGAATGCACACACATGATGGGAACGAAAATGCATTCCAGAAGTTACTCATAACTTTGTTGCAATACTATTTACCGATAATACAACTTTGAATTAAGGTAGTTTTAACACAATGATTGGCATATGAGTCTAAAATTTAGAACAAATATACTAAGTAGAATTCCAGATTTGTTTGTCCATAAAGCAATATGAAAATCACTATCGATTTTGTGCATTTAATAACCACAAATTCATCATAAAATTTTTGGAATATAATACCGATGTTGTGCACACATTATATCCACAAGAATGTACCTCTTATGTTCACGAAATTGACTCATAGTTTTGACTTACCAAACAAGATTTAATCCTTTTCATTCTTCAATGGAAACATTTCTTTCCAATATGTTCCATATTTTTTTTTGCAGAATTTCGTCCCAACGAACAATCAAGCAAGATTTGGATTTCATCAACTTGTTCTTCTCCAAAGTGATTTCGTTCTCCACCGCTTAATATCGCTTGAGATTGGTAGGAAATTTTCATCACATGGGTTTGGAGAAGAAGCAATATATAAAAATAATCAAGAAGATGAAAATAAGAAGAAAATCATAATGAATATGATGGTTCAAACACAACATTATATCGTTATCCTCAAACGATATTTGCCCCCTCTCGAATACAAATTTGGTGCTTAAAGGGTCTCATGGTAAACGGTTTGAATGATTGATGAAGCCTTGTCAAGAATCAATATTTAAGCACTTGCATGAATTCTCCAAAACTTAAGAGCACAAAGAGAATATTGAATATGAATGAAGAAGACTTTGATCTCTTCTTTGTGGAATGAAGATTATGATCACAAATGTAATCAAGTGTTTCCTTATGATTTCAATATTGATTTCAACATATTTACATTGATTATCCATGGCTTATTTATAGGCCTCAATCAATGTCTACGAATTGGTGCCAAACCATGCTGAAAAGTTGCAAGAAACGTCCCAAAAGGAGCCATAATTCAAACCAAAATGACCTCCAATGATCACTATAAAACTACCATGCGACCGCATGGTGTAATCCCATGCGATCACATGGTTTATACAAAACCCGGCCTCCATGTTTCGGTTAGTGGCCATGCGATTGCTTGGCCTATTAGCCTATGCAAGCATAGGCCAAAGTATTGGCTCCCATCTCCTCTTTCTTTCCACTCGTGTTTATTGATTTATTGAACAACATTTTCCATCAAAATATATTTGCAACGAAGACCAGACATTTTTGGACAGGTTAATGGACATATATTTGACATTAATATGTTCTTTGATCGCATTCAATCATGTTCAAGATACAAAACTACCTTGAAAGCATTAAGGGAAGTAAAGAAGAATGGACTTGAGAACCTAACGGTTATAAATCCAATTCATGCCACATCTTGAATACCAATATATCATCACACTTACCGGGCTATTACGAAAAAAGTAGGCATTTTTTGGGAAAATCTTCTGTCCATTTTCCTTCTCCAGTTGGTGAAAAGCTAACTTGCAAATTTTTGCAGTTGACTTTCAAACTTGCCTTTTTCCAAAGAGAATTAGACTTATACTCAGCCTTCAAAGACAGTCTCAAGCTGAAACATACGATTCCAGTGCTTCGCTCCTGAACAATACTTGGGAACACCCCGTTGTGCAACTTTTCTTGATTCGTTGGATCTGTTGCCACACCGAAACTCATACCAAGTGTCTGTCTTGTCTCTACTTGAAAAGACTGCAAAGGAGAGATTGCCAACAAATCCTCTTCATGGAAGAATGAAGATACAACCTGCAGAAACTGAACCTTGAAAGCCTCATTTTGATTCGTGACAGTAATATTGGCATCCCAGCTGGCTACTAAGGACGAGTTAGTCACGTTAAAATTCGGCACGGTCAATGATACAAGATGGAAATCTGGGTCCTCTGTACCAAACAGGAGGAAAATGACTATGCTCAACATGCACATCCCAAGTGTTAAAAAAATCAACAAGGAGATCATTGCACGACCAACCGAAGTAGTCCTACTTGGTTCGGGTACCAACGGCGCATAGGTTTGCTGATAATAGTATCCATCAAATGATTGGGGATAATGATTTGGATTGATAGAATTTGCATAATCTTTATGATGATGATATGCAAGATCTGGTTTAGGGTATCCATAAGGGGGAGGGTACCTATTCATTCGGGGGTACCCCATTACAATCTTTGATTGATCATCTGATGGAGGTGCCATAGTTCCCATCCTCCTCTTCCTGCAATTCCAATATTGAAGTTACAGAAATCAAGATGAATCTATCACGATAATTAAAACCTGATATAATTCACCGATCCTGTTCTATATTGGATTGAAGGAAAAAGGATAAAGACGAGGCTGTAGGCAAAGAAGTGCAAATGAAAAATGAGGGAATTGAATTAAACACTTGGTGTGCAAGAACTGAGAGGTCAACCATTTTTCAGTGGCCTGCTCTAATCTTAGGATAAATTGAGAGGTGGACAGTGAAACAATGGATGAATAATCTGCAGAAAAACATCCCTTTGTACGGACAGCTGCATTGCTTCTCCTATAATTCAGGTGGGATATGCATTACGTGTTCTTGGAAAGTATCAATGGGGATTATATGTGTGGATTGGCGGTTGGGTGATTTTTTACGGGGCAACTTACAAATATATCCTAAAAATAGATGTCTTTTGAAACATTATATATGAAAAGTATTTTGATAATAAAAAATACTATGTAACTTTAGTGTCACTTTTGTAAGTCTTACTTTCTTAATAAAAATGATATACAATGTCACTTTTATTAAAAAAATGATGTTTGTCATTCAAAAAAATGATCAAAAAAGTAACAAACACTAAAAAAAACTCAAAAATTCAAAAATTCAAAAATAATGACATAAATGGAAAAAAAAAAAAAAAAAGAGTGACACAAATTAAAAAAAAAGTGACAGAAAATAAAAATAAAAAAAGCGAGAAACACTTAAAAAGTCAAAAAATTCAAAAAAAAAAAAAAGTGACAAAATAATATGTTGGTGATTTTCTCGTTGAATAAATCATATCTATTTTATTCTGTTAAGACTTTTGGTAGATATTTAGAAATAGCAATAGTTTTCAGTCTAATTGTTTGATCGAAGGTAAGATAGAGGTAAAATTATTCAATTTCAAACATCAAAAGCATTCATGATGACAAACCAATCAAACTAAACCAAATTTATCGTTTACAATGCAACCTTTATGGGCCTCTATGATTTTTCTTACAATTACATAAGATTTGAAATGAGAATTAAAATAATGATGATAATAATAATAAATAAATAAATGAAAATAGACAATGACACTTTTCAAAGTCAAGTGTGACTTTTTTTAATATATATCATTTTTACTAAAAAGTGATGTTTGTCATTCAAAAAAGTGACAGAAATTTGAAAAAGAGACAAATCAACAATTAAAACGTTGGAATTGGCTTAAAGTTAATAATAATAATAATAATAATAATAATAATAATAATAATAATAATAATAATAATAATAATAATAAAAAAGTGACACGACAACCGCCTTTCCCATCCACTCACCATCAAGCATCTTTAAGTCTATCACCGACAAAACATCAAGCATATTTAAATCAATTCACTGCCACCGTCACGTACCAACTCAAATTGAGGGAGGGCGATTGACTAGTTAATCAATACTATATCAAAGGAGTTGATATTCATTCAACAGAAGTTGCATCTACTCGAACGTAAGAATTGCAAAACCACCAACAAACTTATTTCTATTCTTATGCTTCCTCGAGCTATTTTATTAAAATTGTCACTTTTTTTAATTAAAAAGTGAGACACAATATCACTTTTTTATTAAATGTGTGTCATCTTTATTAAAAAATGATGTTTGTCAGATAGAAATTTCAAGAAAGTGATAAAAAAATAAAAAAGAGATACACTAAAAAATGTGACAAAAATTAAATAAAGTGAATATCTTTATCAAAAAATGATGTTTGTCAATCAAAAAAGTGGTAGAAATTTCAAGAAAGTGAAAAAAAAAAAAAAAAAAAAAAAAAAGGAAAAAAAAAAAAAAAAAAAAAAAAAAAAAAAAAAAAAAAAAAAAAAAAAAAAAAAAAAAGAAAGA